TACTTTAGTCCTTTTAATTTTTTTGATGTGGTTTTATACCAATTTCCTTCTAGTTTAGTGTTTTCTAAATTGGCTCTTGTCTATAAATTTTAACACTTGTACAGGCCACCAAATGCACCAGTCTGGCTGGGCACAAAATCACGAGCCACTCACAGCCTTGTAGATTCAAACAGCAACTCTTTATTCCCGAACTCTCACTGGCACTCTACACGCACGTTCTGGGAAATTCCACCGGCACTCTACACGCACGTTCTGGGAAAATCCACCGGCACTCTACACGCACATTCTGGGAAATTCCACACTTCTACCGGGCTCTGCATCCCAAATACCCTCTGAATCCAGAGATGGTGCTCTGATGTGTTTCCATCTTTGTTTGATTCTAGGTATTTTTAAATTTCCCCCTTAATTTCTTCAGTGACCCACTCTTTATTCGCGATTGTAGTGTTCAAAGTATGTATAGTCTTTGTAGTTTTTTTGTTGATTTCTAATTCCATTCCATTATTTTTTGAAAAAATATAAGATATAATTTCTTTCCTTTTTATATTAGCTAAGACTTGCTTTAGGGCCTAATATATGATCAATTTTCGAGCAGTTGAAAATAAAGTTCATTTGGTTGTCATGGGATAACATGTTCGGTAGATGTCTGTTAAGTTCAACTTATCTGTAAAATAAGGTCTAAATCTGATGTGTTCTTGTTGCTTTTCTGTGTGGATGACCTATTAGTTAGAGAGGCATATTGAAATTCCCACTAATACTGGATCGGGGTTATTCCTTTTATACCTAGTAATTTTTGTTTTATGAAATGTTGGAGCCCAGCATCCAGAACATAAGTATTTACCATTATTGTGTCTTCTGGTTGGATTGTTCCCTTTATGAGTAGTGAAGGCCTTCTTTGTTCCTTCTGATTTGGGCTTGGGATCTGCTTTGACTGGGACATGAGCGTGGCTCCACCTCGCCGTCGGTCTCCATGGACATGGAGGATCATCTTCCACCCTTTCACCTAAGAGTGTTGTTGCCTTCGCTTGTGAGGTGTGTTTCTTGGAGACAGTATACAGTGGGGCAAATGATCTCTGCCTCTCCATTAACTGAGGAGAAGAAAGGGGGTGATGATATGCTGAAAAGTAAGATTATAGGGAAGTAAAATCAACAGTAAACTACATTAAAAAAATAGAAGGAAAAAGACAAGAGAGAAAAAATGAAAAAAAAATGTTGGGGAATGAATAGGAACAGAAGAGAAAGCAAACAATAAAAGGGGTGGAATATAAAGGAGAGAAGGAAAGAGGAAAAAATTAGTAAAAAATATTAAAATTATTTAAAAATATGAAATAACAA